GAGGTGGAGTGTCCCACAAAAAGAGGTGTTAGGTATACAACTGAATAGGTGTCCTCTATAGATGTAACAGATCTCAGCCTCCAGGGGCCACTGACCACTAGACCTTCAAATTACGATTACATGACTTTGTTTACTGGCTTGAGCTTTTCTTGTCACTTGGATACATTGCTTGCCTCCCCTTCTCTTCCAATTTCTACTATTTTCTTCGATATTTGATTCAAAATTAACTTTAATCAATGAACTCTGGTCTGATCTCATGCCCTCAGCATTCTCGTGCATACAACGGTTTTTGTTGTTCTCCTTGTTGGTTGTTTGCTTTTGGTGGGACTGGGGTTTGAACTCAGAGCTTCACAACTGCAAAGCAGGTGCTCTACTGCTCAAGTCACACCTCCAATCCATTTTACTCTGGTTATTTTGGAGATGAAGTCTTGGAAACTATTTGCTGTGACTGGCCTCGAAACTTGATCCTTTCAATCTCAGTCTCCTAAGTAGCTAGGATTATAGGCACAAGCCACCAACGTCCAGCATGTACACAGTGTTTATCGTATTACTTGAACCTATCCACACAAGTTGCACAAGTGTCTTCTACAGTCATTCCTGGATATTATTCCTTTGTAGAGTGACACACCCTTAAGCAGGTTGCACAGGATTCCTACAGCTAAAGCTTCACAGAAAATTAATTCACAATCTAAAATCAGAGAGTATATGAGGAACAGCCTGCCATGAGCAAACATAGGTGCATATAAGGGTTAGGCTTTCAATCATTTCATATGATTAACATGAGTTAAACAAGAGAAAGAATTTAAAACTAGACAAAACATCAAGATCAGGCATATATGAAAAATACCTACATAAAGCTTACAGAAGAACAGAGGCAAAGGCCGGTGCAGGTGGCTCACACCGGTAACCCTAGCTACATGGGGTGATCATGGTTTTAGGCCTGTCTGGGCATAAGTGTGGTGGCACATGGATGGGAAGCTTAAAAAAGGAGGCTCATGGTCCTGGGTGAAAAGCAAGAGCCAATCTCCAAAATAACCAGAGCAAACAGGGCTGGAGATGTGGCTCAAGCTGCAGACATGAAGCCCTGAGTTCAAATCCCATAACTGCCAAAATATACCAGCAAAGATTGGCTCAACTGGGACTAAATGGAGATGAAGAGAGAATTATTGATGTGAAAGACAGATATGAGGAAATTATAAACACAGAAAAATAAAGAGATAAAATATGAAATTAAGAGGTTGGCGGTAACCCTTCCAAGGTAATAAAAATCCAAGTAATTTATGTAGACATTTGCCCTCTCAAGGATATGAAATACAATCCTCAATCCTTCATTATTGGCTACACATAGTGACTCCTTTTAAGGCAGAAGGTGGAAAAGGAGGGAAAAAAGTAACCGTACAGTGAACCTATAATGTTGACATCAACAGGAGTAAGTCGTGTGGATAGGTCTGCCCTTTCTATGATGAGAATGGAACTTTACACCTTTGCGTTCGTCCTCTCCAATACTGATCGTCCCAGTCTAATCATGAGAAAGGCATGAGGGAAACCCCACCTGAGGATTGCTCTATAAAACATCAGAACAGTACTTCTAAAAACTGTGAAGAAAGAATTACAGCAGGGAGTGTAAGAAAGTACTGTTGGTTCCCCAAACCCATGGGTTCTGTGTTCACGTTTGCAGACTCAACCAACCACAGATGAAGAGTTTTTGTAAAGTTGCACATCAAATGAACATGTATGAACCCTGTTCTTATCATTACTTCTTAAGCAATATAGCAACTACTCACGTTATAAATGATCGAGAGATGATTCAAAGTATACAGGCAGATGTGCTCAGGTTATATGCAAAATACCATAGGATTTTACATAGAACTTAATCATCTAAGGATTTGCTATCCTTGGGGGAGGGAGTCCTGGAATCAATCACCCATGGGTACCAAAGGACAACTGGACTGCAACACATTCTGAGCATTGGGGTACCAAGATGGGATATTTGTGGGAGTAGACTGCTCCTGGTGGAGTTTGTGCACTGTCTGTGGAGAACTTAAAAACAATAATAAAACTACTGAACTGCTCTTGTTTTGGGGGTGTGGTATTGTACTGGGGTTTGAACTCAGGGCCTTACGCTTGCTATGTAGGTACTTTCACACTTAAGCCACTCTGCCAGGCCTGTTTTGTGTTGGGTATTTTTGAGATAGGGTTTTGCTGTTTTTTTGTTTGTTTCGTTTTGTTTTGTTTTGCTTTCTGCCAGGGCTGGTTTCAACCATGATCCTCCTGATCTTTGCCTCCTAAGTAGTTAGGATTACAGGCATGAGCCACTGGCACCCAGCCACTGAATTGCTTTTTAGGGTAACTAATAAAAGATTTTTCCTTGATGGACCAATCTGCTCCAACCAACCTCCTCCAATCTCCATGCCACTGATCTTGACTAATATGGCTGATAAATGTAAATAAGCATTGACTGACTGAAAGGTAAATATAAGCATCTTTTAAGTGAAATAAGATATTTAACAATAACATGGAAAAAGAGGGAATGTGCAGTGTGTGAAGTGAGCTACAGCCCTTGTCTTGTTTAGGAGGAAGATAAACTAGAATGGACAAATAAAAAGGGACTATAATTGGAGTGTGACAGAACACTAATGTCATGCAACATATACCGATGTGTACTGATTTGGTTTAATGTGCTTTGGTGATCATTTATACTGTTAACCTAACTTTAAATAAATGGGCTCATGTTCAACTTCTTCCTCTAGTAATTATTACCTTCCAGTAAGTAAGGGTCTCAAAAGATACTGCAGTGCAGATACATCCACATTCTGTATTGGTAGAGACTGCACAGCTTGATTTAACAATTTGATAGCCAGGTCCTAACAAATGACAGCGACAACAAACACTGGTGTTTCTCTGCAATGAATTTTTTTTCTTACTAGGATAGCTCATCTGGCCTTGAACTCAGCCTCAGCCTCCTGAGCGCTGGTATTGCAGAGGTGGATCACCTCAACCTGGCTCTCACATTGAATCTTTTTCCCTTGGCTTCATAGTCAATTTTTTAGGGGACAGGGAAGAATAATTCCTGAGAATCACTGCCTCCTAGGCTTTTAAGCAAGGGTTAGAGTTCAAAGAAATCACTTTCTCTTTCTTTTTAGTTTTTGAGGGGCAGGGAGATATTACCACACTCCTTGAGGGCATTTCTAACTTTAAAAAAATCCCAGTATCTCCAAATCCAAACTTCCAAAACAAGTCAATTAGGTAGCAGTTACAAAGTTGCCTTGATCTACAAAAGGCTAATTAATTTTCTTTTAATTAGCCTCTACTTCTCTACACTTTCCCCATTGTGTTTCAGTAAGAAAGCCACACCAAGCTGAGGTCCAGTTGAGGCCCTGAGTTCAAACCCTAGTACCACTACAACCAAAAAAAAAAAAAGATAAACTTCAGGAGAATGTCTACATCATCAAGCAAATGTGGTTTCTGAAAAAGAAATAACTATTCTTGGGCATTTACCCAAAAGAACATAAGACAGGATACAGTAGAGACACCTGCACACCAGTGTTCATCACAGCACTATTTACAATAGCCAAGCTCTGGAAACAACCCAGATGCCCTACAACTGATAAATGGATCATGAAATTGTGGTATACATACACAGTGGAGTATTACTCAGCCAGAAGGAATAATGACATGTGGTTTGAAGGTAAATGGATGCAATTGGAGGACATCATGTTAAGTGAAGTTAGCCAGGATCAGAAACACAAAAGACACGTCTTCTCTCATAAGTGGAAGATAGATCCAAAGATAAACATACACACAAAACCAAGCATGATCATATACAAACTCAGATGCAGAACATGTTTGTAACAGTGGAAATACTCTTGTAACTCAGGAAAAGAGGGAAAGGAAAAGAGACTGATAGAGCATCAGTAATATCGCATACCATAAGATGTGAAGGTAGAGGGTATAAGGATGGTATTGAAAGCTGTTGAGAAACTGAGGGTGGGAGGTAAAGGGGTAAGAGAGAGTATTTGAAGGGATTGAACAGACCAAAGTAAAGCGCACCCACAGTGGGCCTACATTGAGACACTTCTCTGAATGTCAACTCAAACATTAATAATGAAAACCAGGACTGCAAAATAGGCACAGTGTGTGCAGGCAGGGGAAGGGGAAGTACTAATGGGAGAGGGGAGGATGAAGGAAGGAGAAGGAGATTAAGGTGACAGTATATGGTTGATGGACTTCATATACCTATGAAACAGAACTAAAAAACCTCTTGCAATTGCTTTCAGTGGGGTGGGGAGGGGCCTAAGGGGGAGAGACGATGAGGATGCAATGCAAATGTACAATATAAGCCTAATCAGAATTGTCACTATGAATCCCCCTGTATAATGAATATACCCTCAAAAATTAAAAAATGAAAAAAGTAATAACTATTGATAATCACTTTAGAAATGTTTAAAAATTAAAAAGAAAAATCTGTACTCCTAGCGTTAACACTGTCACCGTGCACTTCCTTGCAGTATGTAGGGTTGCCTGATGCACACGGCACCTTCAAAGCCTGTTTAACCCCAGGGGTTCCAAGCGCAGGCTGGGGCCGCCCCACGACCGCGCCCTCCCCGCGGGGGAGTGCCGCTGTCAGCAGCGCCTGTTTATTCTCTGCCTGGTGGCACCAGCTGCTCCAGGGACACTCCTCCTTCCCTGTGTCAGCTCCACTCCCTAAACTTTGCAGTTTCCCACCGCAGATCACCTCTTCCGCAACTAGTTAGCTAGTTAGCTAGCCCGCCCACATTCCGCCCCAAAACAAAAAAATCCCCTTGCAGCGGAGTCACGCTGCGGGTGGGAGGGCGGAGGGCTCTCCCTGCGGAACCGGGAGGCAGGGTCCGCCCAGGCGCGCGCTCCCGCCCCCGCGCGGCCCCGGCTCCTCGGCCCCGCCCCCGCCGCGGACGCGCGCGCCCGCCCCCTCAGGCGGAGACGCGCCAATGAAAGCGCGCGGCCGGGAGCCCCGGGCGCCATTTTGGGCTGGTTGTCCGGGTCGAGGTGCACGGGAAGCTACGCGTTGGTTGCAGGTCGTCGAAGGAGGACTTCGGCGGCGGAGCAAAGACGCAGACTACGTGGGACGGAGGAGAACTCCCTGGGCAGCCAGAGCCGCAAAGGTGGAGCCGCGTTGGCGCCCGCCGCGGGACCAGCGTCTCGGATGCGGGCGGAGCGCGGGGGGCCGCGGCGGCGGGAGCGCGAAGCGGGGTCCCCGGGGGGCCTCATGTGAGAGCCGCGGGACCAGCCGCCGCCGTCCCCGGAGCCCGGGGTTGTGTGTGGGGGAAGCCGCCCCTGGCAGCAGGTAACGGCGGAGGGGCAGTGCCGGAGGGCCGGCCGGCCGGCCGTGGGCGGGCCGTGGGGCGCGGGCTCCGGGGGCGCGCGCGGGACGCGGGCGCGGCGGGGACCTGGGGCGCTGGCTGGGGGCGTTGCCCGCGGTGTCGGCGGTTCCAACATGTCAACAAGGCGTGGCGCGTGCGGCGTGCTGACCCCGGGCGGGGGCCGGTGACGGGCACGGCGGGCTCGCCCTCGGCGGGGCCGGCTCCGTGGGACCACGCCCGGCAGGTGGCTGGGGCCCTGAGAGGCACCAGCCGTCAAAACAGAGTGCGCAGGGGTCCGCGAAAGCCGGTCGGTGGAGGTGGCGCGGAGGAGGGGACAACTTGTCAACTTGCGCGAGCGGCCTCGCGTCTGCTGTGGGCTGGGCAGCGGTTCAGGTGGATGAAAATGGGGAAAAGAGGGAGGGAGAAGCATTTCCTACTCCCCGTGCAGGAAATGGGAGTTTTACTCTTGTATTTCAGCCAAAGGATGCATTTGACATTAGTCAAAGCGGGCGTAAAGGCGTCACGAATTGTCTGTAATGCTCAACAGGACTTTGAGAACTGAGTACAAACTGGGGTTTTAAGTTCCTGCGTGCCTAATGAATAAGCAAACCTAAGGCTTGGAGGCGCACCCAGCTAAGTGTCTCTCTGCTGTCCTTCAGCTGATGATCAGGTGATCCCCTTCAGAGTTGATGGGAATGCTAACTAGGTTCACTGATTCCCTCGCTGCTCGGCCAATCTGTAGTCTTTTCTCATTAGTCTGCTTTTTTGACACTTGGTAATATCACTGCAGTTGAATTATCTGGGCCCTTAAACTGCAACAAATTAAACTGTCAGAGCCCTAGAGGCCTGCCCTGGTGCTCTGGAAAATCTTTCTTTACTGTCCAGCTCGGTCCTCCACACGCCTATTCAAATATCAGAAGTATTTTCACTTTGACTGATAAAGTCCACTGATGTAAGTTATTTGTAAACTAATGGATGCTTTAAGTTTTTTTAACTTTATACAGCAGAGCTTCATGCGTAAATAGATTCAATAAAATACTTTTAGAAGTATTGGAAAGTTTTGCATGAATAAATGAAACCGCTTGGAAAAATTGGTATTTAAAATTTTGGGTGTTTGGTGGTACTGTAGTTTGAACTCAGAGCCTTGTGCTTGCTAGGCAAATGCTCTACCACTTGAGCCACAGCCCCAGCCTGACAATTAAGTTTTTTATTAGTTGTCCACTTGCTGATGTTATTTTCATGCACAAATGAGGATACTACAGATGACATTTTTATTAGTATTTGATTTTACATTTTTGGTTGCTTACTACAATTATGGCAATAATGTCATAATACCTACAATAATTTATGGACTTTTGTTCAGATATTCATAAACTAGTAGGTGCTTAAAATACACTAATCATCTATCTTTTTATATTTAAAGAGATACTGTATTTTAGTGTTCCATAGTTTAATAAATATTTGCCAACTTTCTCCCTTGAACTTGGAAAGATAATGAAATATACTTTATTGAAAACAAGATTAGGACCAGTATAAAGTATTACCCAAAATTACTGTGTGAATAAGGCTGCCCCCTTTTTTTTTGCTTATGTACCCATACACCTTAAAGAAAAATTAACTATTCTATTTTTAAGTCGAATAGTTGTGGTTTTAGAAATCTCCAGAAACAGCTGGTCAGCATCTTAAAATAAGGCATAGAAATTATGAGGGCTGCTGCATTCTCTTTTGAATCTTAAAATTATGAGAAGTTTTAGGTAATTGGAAATTATAAGCCCCAGGTTGCAAACTTTGTTCTTTGACCCAAATTGTACACGCTAAAATTAAAATAAGCCTTCACAATAAGTTAAAACAGAAAAATAGGTCATAATGGCAGTTTTTTTTCTCAATCTGCAGTAGGACATTAATGTTAGAAGAATTTTTATGTTAAAAGATGACACTGTAGATTATTCTGTATTTTCTATGAACACACTTAATGTATTCTTAAATTTACATGTTAAGTTTCATTTTTCCCTTCTGTCACCTCTGTCATTCTGTCTTCTTTCCTCTTCCCCCTTCTCAGTAGGGTGTACATCATTTACTTCACTTTATTCACATAGTTAAAAATAGGGGCAAAGAGAAACAGGCAGTTTTTGTACATACACTAAGACCTCCTGGACTGAGCATCATGGCATGAAGGCTTATGGCTTCTGCCACTGTTTTTACTCTCCAGCCCTCAATTCTCATTGGCACCTTTTGGTAGATATTAGTCAGAGAAAGTTTGCAGAGATAGACCTGGTTTACAGTCCTGTGTATGCATATCCTTCATCCCTCACAGGAATTAGAATTTCTCACATGCTGATTTGCCAGAGCTTTGTCCTTTTGAATTGCTGTGACTTGAAGTCTATGTTCAAACTACCTTGTAAGAACTTTCTAGAAACAAAAGTATTATAGGCCCTAAAGAGGAGTACCAGTGAGCAGTATGCAGTTAGAGTTCACTAATCCATTAACAGATCAAAACAAGACCTTTTATATCTAATTATATTGTAGCAAGTAGACATTAAAAGAAATGTGTAAAATGTAGAAAGATTTGTACCCACCCAGGGACACACACACACACACACACACACACACACAAAAGCATATTGGCAAAAAAACAAAAAACCACACCCTACCTGTAATCCCACCACCCATTGTTAGTTAATATATTCTCCTTCCAGTGTATTTCTCATACACAAGATTGGCTCCATCCACTTTGTTTTAAAATAAAAGTTTTGGGCTGGCGGAGTGGCTCAAGTGGTTAGAGAACCTGCCTAGAAAGCATTAAGCCCTGAGTTCAAACCCCAGCATGCCAAAACCAAAAAAAGTTTTAAAAATACCATTTTTCACCTTCTGGTTGGCAACCTGTTTTACTGTGTTGCATGCTTTAATGTCTTTAATTCAGGACTGCTTTTTCTAGATTAGAATCATTTCTCTCCTTTCAAAAGTTCTAACCTTTCATTTCTTACAAGAATCCTAGATCTTAGTATGCTCATTTTATGAACTGAGGGACAGGACAGTTTTGTAATTTGCTCAAAGCAACGTAGCCAGTGAGAAGTTGAGCCAGGATTCAGATACAGGGAGCTTGGTTCCAGAGCCAATAATACAGTTTTCCACGTAATGACTATTTTTCAAAGAAACACGTAATGAATGTAGTAAGAATACACAAGTAGTTGTCTTTCAGAAACACGATGGGGAAGACATAATAGAATAGCGATGTGTTGGAAGAAGAAACCCACGCCAGGCAAATAATGCATAGAAGGGTTGGGTTTACCTAACTTCCGGGTGCTGGTGATCAAATCCAGGACCTGGAGCACGTTGGGCAAGTGCTTTACCAATGGACTACAATCCCAGCTCAGGTTTCCTTTCATTAAGCAGAGGTTGAAAATGTCTGTCTGTAGCACATTCCACAGAGTATTCAGTATGGAAGATAGGTTGCCTACTTAATGTCTGTGCAAGGCCAAGTTCAAACCCCAGTATTGCCAAAAAAACAAAAACATCTCAATTATAGAAAAATAAATTTGGGGTTTATTTCTACTAATAAATTAAGTAGAATAAAAAAATGATTTGTTTTTCTAAATAGGATGAAACGAGGAGGAAGAGATAGTGACCATAGTTCATCTGAAGAAGGTACTACAGAGAAAGCAAAGAAACCGAGGACTACAAATGAGCATTCTCTGACTTGTGATTGGGGTAATCTCCTTCAGGACATTATTCTCCACGTATTTAAGTATTTACCACTTCTTGACCGGGCTCATGCTTCACAAGTTTGCCGTAGCTGGAATCAGGTATTTCACATGCCTGACTTGTGGAGGTGTTTTGAATTTGAACTGAATCAACCAGCTACATCTTATTTGAAAGCTACACATCCAGAGCTGATTAAACAGATTATTAAAAGACATTCAAACCATCTACAGTATGTCAGCTTCAAGGTAATACTTTAAATCCCTCTTTTAAAAAACAAAGCATTTTTAGTGGCATTTATATGAGCTGCTTATCTAAAATGGCATGGAAACTGTTTAAAGGTTTAGTTGAATATATCTTAGAGAGAAATGGAAAAGAGCTGTGCTGCTCTTTGCTGAAAGGGACGAGAAGGAAATAATGCAGTGATTCATTAAGTGAAATTGGGGTGGGAGGGAGTTGAGATACTTTAAGAAATCAGAGTCACATTGTGTTTTAGAAATGAATAATGAAATATGAGCATGTTTTACTGATTCCCTAAATACCATATTTTTGGATTTTTTTTTTTTTTTAAGCAAACAACTTAACAATCATTGTTGAAAAGTCACAGTGCTTCAGATGTGGTGTTAAGAATCTCAGCACTTAGAAGGCCAAGGCAGGAGGATTGAGAGTTTGAGGACAAGCTGAGCTACATAATGAGACCCTGTCTCAAAATAAAATAGACAAAAAAATCCCCAAAACAAAAGTGACAACATAAGAATGACTCATTTATCTATATGTATCAGTTAAATGGGCCGGTTAAACCTTGATGAAGCAGTGTTTCTTAACCTAAGCTTTATACCATATCCTCAATGCTCATCTTCCTTCCAAGAGTGCCATTTCCTGTAGGTGGAGATTGTATGCTTATTCTCTCACACGTATCCAAGAAGAAGAGACTTTGTAATGGGAATGATGGAATAGATTGTGGCCTTCTTCCTAGAAAAATGCACAAAAGCACTTAGGTCACTAGGGATAGAATTGCCAATTATATATATATTTAAAAAAAAATAAGGTGTCCATTGAAGCCATCATCTCAAAAAAAAGATGCCTAGCTAAAATTGAGTTTCAGATAATTTATAGTTTTTAATATGGTTACACCCTTTGCAGTGTGTCAGATATAGTTAGTATTAAAAATTATTTGTTGTTGAAATTCAAATTGAATGTTTTATATGTTATCTGGCGACCTTAACTTGGGGCAAGGGTCGTGAAATGGTAGGAGAAATCAAACTCAGATCTCAGAACTCCTCATCCTTTTGCTTTCAGAAAAGAAAGCTGAATTGCCTTTCTGTTGGTTTTAGTCATCTTTTACTTGTCTAAGAATGTTCTAATAGCAAATGCTATAAAAAAAAGAATAGGATACACTTATCTGGCAGATATTAAAGATATTTCCATATACCATGTTGGGCTGGGTCAGTTACATTCCTTTACAACCACATGACACATTTCAGGTGTATCTAACTTGTATAACCCTAATAAAGCCATTTGTACTGTAAATTTAACATACTTATTAGGGGTATAATTTCTGATTTACATGTTAAAAAACAGGCACATCACAGTATTCTTTATGGGCTGTCCTGGTAATATTTAAGACTTGATGACTGTAAGCTAAGATGACTGTAAGACTTAAAGACTGTAAGTTCTCAGTGATTTTGATGCTGCTGGTCCAGGGATCACATCTTGAGAACCACTGGTGTAAAGAACCTAACCAAAAGAACAATATGAATAGCTATGAAATTATACAAATTAGTACATTTGCTTTATGCCAGCTCTTAACTATTCTGTTTCGAGATGCCTTTTAGCCCAGGAACAGCTAACTTTAAAAAACCTTTCCTTTAAAGGTTTGGGGGTTTTTTTTCTTTGTTTTGCTATATTACCCTTTCCTCGGGAAATGTCTAGTCAGAGGAATGTGTGAGAGCAGCTACCTTTTTTTTTTGGTATAAACTTTCATGCTTGATTATCTGGACACCCCTATTTTACTTTATATTCATCTTTTCCATTAAAAAATGTAACAAATTCCAGGTTATGGTTAATGTGAACATTCTGAGTAAAAAGTCAATTCCTGATGCCTTGAAATGTTTATCATTTACATTGTATTTACATGTATTAATTGTTCTACCAAATACATAGTTATTTTTCAAAGACTAAATTGGTTTATTCCCTTAATTTATGCAGTCAGTTTAGAATAAATCCTTCAACATTAAATATATATCTTACAACGAAAGCTGTTTTGACAGTTGCACTTACAGTTTCTCAGAAGGACTTAGAGTAAAGCTGAAGTTGTAGAGAAAAGTAGATTGAAAGAATAAATGTTCTTTCAGTAATATTGTGGACTATGTTTCTGTGTCTATACAGTAAAGATATACATAGAGAATTGTAAGTATGTACATAGGTAAAAGGTGTTTTCTTTTCTAAGGTGGACAGCAGCAAAGAATCAGCAGAAGCAGCTTGTGATATATTATCGCAACTTGTGAATTGCTCTTTAAAAACACTTGGACTTATTTCAACTGCTCGGCCAAGCTTTATGGATTTACCAAAGGTATCTTTTCGTTTGGTATTAATTAGCTGTTACTGAGAAATCCAGTGAAAGCCTAAACATCTCTTGTATTGAGAATGAGGGTATAAGAAAAGTACCATATGTAGTGGAAAACCAGTTACTATTTATGTTAATAGTACTTTTAAAATAAACTCTTCTGGTGACTGTCCTGTAAGGATTTATTTTTAAGCAAAGTTAGTATGGCTTGGATTAGCTTAAAGATTTTAAAGAATGCACAGGAGTTTTTTGTGGAGTTAATGTTTGTATGTATATTCTAACACAATCTAGTACATAATTGAATATAATCTCTCACAATTATTCTCTTAAAATAAAAAAGAAGGCTGCATTTGTAGAAAGGAAACTGATAAAGGCCCCTGAGTTATGTCAGCTAATATTTAGTAAATTAGTATCTATGTGTGTATGAGTCTGTGTGTGTGATCAGGATTATTGAACCCAGGGCTTTGCATGTACTAAGCTAGTGATCTCTACTGCCCAGCCCAGCCAGTAATAATTTGAAATTTTTTTCAGAGTAACCTCAAGCTAAAATATGGATACTTTAAAAAACACCTGGTAGTGGGGAGGGAGTTAAGAGGGGAGAGACAGTAGGGGCAATGTAAATAACGTACACTGTAAGTCTAATTGGAATTGTCACTTTGAATCCCCCCCCCTGTATAATGAATATATCCCAATAGAAAGTTTATTTAAGAAATAAAAACAAACTGAAAAAAGAAAAAAAACACACCTAGCAATTTAATTCACTAGAGTGATTCATGAAGGAATATTACTAAATTGTGTATTGTAATCCAGGTGGTTGTTTAAATTGAATGACAATACCAAATGTATCACCAGTTAATTTCAAAGTCTTTAATAGAGTTTTTAAAAGGTTTATTTTCAGATAAATGTTCCTTCTGAACTGAATGGACAAAAGAATCTGTTTTAACATTTTAAGATTCTAAGTACATGAGTTAAATTACTATGGTTCTCAGACTTACCTGTGCATAAGTTTTAGATTCCTATTCCTGTTTGAAATTTGGAGTGATTCCAGGTCTCCTTCCGTCAAATAGTCCAGATGATTTTGATTAAAATGGCTGAACAAGCTTGCTATAAAAAACTCTGAGGTACACAATATAGTATGACCACCTTCAAGCTTTATATGGGAAATTTTCTGAATTGATACCTGTCATAGCTTAAAAAAAAAATCTGTATATTCATATATATGCTGTACTGTGAAATGCATTCATAGGCATATTGAATATAATTTCCTTTTTTTTTCTTATTTGATGTTATTGTGTATACATGTAGTACTAAACTGTTGCTGTAACTAAGACTGCTTTCTGTTATTAGATGAACCTAAGATGTTTATACTGTTGTCTTTTTCCTTCTGGGGCTTTTATGGAAGAGATTGAAAGGGTACTTCTCTATCCTGTATATTCTGAGAGAATGGAAGAGAACATAGAAGAAGTGTATTTGACCACAGCTAAATTGGGGCAGTAGGGGATAAAGTCAGTGATGTAGTCATGAGAATATTAATGAGGAAATGTGAGTGTACAAGATAGAGTCAATTTTGATATGAAAATATTAGATATTAACACTTCAGTTATTTAATCAAAATTTCAGTAGTTAATCACTTATTTAGACACAGTAGGGGAAAAGTAGTAAATGAGGGAATGTGACAAGAAGGTACTATTTTCTTATACTTTCTTGTCTGTTTGCCTGCCTTCATTCTTTGTCTCTCCTGTAGAGAATTTCTAAAATTAGGTGGAGGATAAGTTTGGTTATGTAAAGACATGTACTGGAGTGTATACTAGCCTTTCTTTCTGTCCCTAAATTTTTTGTCCATTAGCTCTAGCTCTTTTAGTGTCATATACTTTTGAACATGCTTTAAGTCCTATTTCCCTACAGTGGTGCCTTTCAGTCAGAATATTTGTTCAGTAGATAACTTGCATATATATAATAAATTGAAGGAAGTTCATTGGAATATTTGTGGACTAAATATAATCAGTAGAAGACTTGAAAATATTTAATGTGTTTTTGTTGTTGGCCCTGGGACTTGAACTCAGGGCCTCATACTTGCTAGGCAGATGCTCTTACCACTTGAGCCACTCTGCCAGTTCTAATATGTTTTGAAGGAGTCTTAAATTTGGAATTTTATATAAGTATGATTTTTGTTGTTTTAAAATTTATTTTGAATGAACTTTCATGCTCCACATGAGTCATAGAGCTTTTAAGTTGATAAACTATAACTAATTTGTAATGATTGTGCCAGTAGTTACTGCTATTTAAATGGTCATTATTACATGGTGTAGTGGTACGAAACACTGGAGTAGGGTTTCCAGATATGCTGACATATCTGAGAGAGATTCTCATTCTGGGTCCCAAGATTCCTCTTTTTATTAGCCAGTGCTTGAAATTAATTTTTTTCTGTCAAATAAAAAGACTCTCAAAGATGGCATTTTGTCAACCCTTTTACCTGTTTCCAGTAACAGTGCAGGGGTGCTATTCTTTAACAATTTGGAGTTGATCATTAGGATTCAGATGAACCATACAGATACGAATCCCTTGAAACAATGTGTTAATGTTTTTGCTTTTCAGTCTCACTTTATCTCTGCACTGACAGTTGTGTTTGTAAACTCCAAATCCTTGTCCTCGCTGAAGATAGATGATACCCCAGTAGATGATCCATCCCTCAAAGTACTAGTGGCCAACAACAGTGATACACTCAAGCTGCTAAAAATGAGCAGCTGTCCTCATGTCTCCCCAGCAGGTATGTCATGTCTTTTGCCAGGTACATTTTAGTAATTGATTTGTTCATCAAGTAAAGAAAAAAATGTGTTTGGTAGTTTTAATAGTTCTGTTAACCCATTTGTACTTGGGTTAGTTAGGACCATTTCTTTTGCTTAAAAATACTTTTAATGTCATAGTACAGTAGTATAAGATCTGTAGTGTTACTAGCCTAGACACTGACTTTCAACTTATTTCCTAATCATCTTATTTGGCAAATTATGTATCTCTAGAAAGTGAATAAATTAAGAGGAAAGAAGAATATGAGGTTTGCCTGACATTTTGCCTCTTGAAGTAAAGGATTTTCTCTTAACTATTTGATCTAACAAGGTGGGTTTTGAGTCTGAGCAGCCTCACGAAGTAGAGGCTAAGTAGAAAACCTAAGCATTTCCCTTAGGTTTTATAAGATAATGCTTTTTCCTAAGTTGAATTTGGGGAATAGCTTTATAAGAGCTCTTTCCAACTTCCCTTTCATAGAATTTTTTAAGCATTTTTACATTATTCAGTTTGAGATTATTTAAATTCCAGGTGGTTTGTATTGAAAGTTAAATGTAAACATGATTTTCATACTGTCTTCTGCTGCTTCCTTCCTGTCCTCCCACTGTTGAGATCCCTCCCAATCTTAACTATGTTGTTTGGCAGGCTTTTAAAACCTGGTGTTTCGCCAAAGAAATGGTTCCTTCTTGGATAGAGATTACTTCCTTATTCTCCCAAATCTCCCACAAGGGAAGTGTTGATGATGGAAATGGCTAGGTCTACTGTTGTATTTTCCTGGTTGTCTTTGCCACCTCTACTTTATCATTGAGAGTATTGGCTTTGGCAGCTACTTCCTGTAACCTTGATCACATTTTTGTATGGGTCTGCTATGAGAATAAAGTCCATACATCATAGTCACAGTGTACGAGGTCCTTTGTATTTTGACCTCCACCTATCTGTTTAGCCTTATTTGCTGCTTACTCACCTGAACCTTTTACTTGAACTCTATGGAACTGTAGTTCTGTTTTTACTTTGTGTGTATAGCCTCTGATATACTTTAAAAACTTCTTAAAATTTTTCATCTGGTTGACCCAAAATGTAGTTCAAATGTTATGTATCATAACTCCCTTCTTTGTCACTGATTTGGATCCCACCTGTCTGTTTCCATAGCACTCTGAATATAATAGACCTTTACCACACTATATGAGAGCTATAGCTTTTGGTCTCTGATTTCTCAGAGAAACTGTAAATTCATAATTTTCTGTCCTGGTATATCCCATTTTATTTTTATTAAATATGTGTATCAATTCTGAGAGTATTGTATAAATTGGCTTGGTCCCACCTAATGGCTTTTGGACTTGTTCAGTAAGAAAGGAAAGATGACTTATAATACTTTTAAATTAAAATGTATGACCTCAGATGATTATAATTTATTATTTTAACATATTTGCATATGTTTTATACTTCACATATTTAGTGAGTTTGTTTCTCTAAGTTGAAATTACTGGCTGCTTTCTATTCTACATTGCAATGAACATTTTTATCAGACTTTTCCATTTTCATATAGTTGTTATCTGTAACTGGACCTATCATACATGTGATTTTCCTGTTTCACCTCTGTTCCTACTGTTTCTGCTGCTAGTCTTATCTGTTACTCCTTAAATTTTGGTGTTTCATGGTATTCTGTCTGTACTGGCTACTTTTTGGTTGTGCTCTGTAAACTAGGTGATGTTGTCATTTTGTGTGGCTTCAGTTATTTTCCATATACTAATACCTTCTATTTGCATTGTCTCTGGAGGTCTAGAATTATGTGTGAAACTGCTGGTAGCCTAGTGCTCTAGCAAGTTTCAGTGGTACAGTCTAAAGAACTTCTCTTCTCCTTACCAGATCTCTTGCTCTTACCTTTTTGCTACTTTGTCAGAAAATGGCACCATCCCTGTAGTTGTCAGGATCTCACAGACATCCTTGATCTCCGTATATCCCTTCAGTCACTGAAGTCTGGCAACTCTTATCACAAACTATGCCTTAACTCTCTACCTTTCTCCATCTTCATTGTAATCTTTGCACAGTACCCTCTTATCTATTTTCCTGCTACCATGCTATAGCTATGCTTTATATAAAATCTGAACTATTTATCCAGGTTTTAGGTCTGGTGTGATTTGGCCCTTACCTATCTACTTGGCTTTATCCTTTGATACTCTCTTATATGCTGTGTTTTGTGCTTTTTCAGTTTTTGGAATGCTTCCCCCCCCATGTCTGTGTGTTCAGATATGAAACACTGTTTCCTTCTCCATTCTCCTTTGTAGTACCTTCATCCTAATTGTTTAGGTCTCACTGTATTTGCATGGAAAATTGTTTCTGATTCTCATATGAGCTCCCAGAGTACATCTTTGTGTAATTCTTTGCTGCCTCCTTTATACTATAGAAGGGTGACATGTTCCTTTTGTGGCTTTACTGTGCCGGCACCTGTGCTTAAGATATAAGACTCATTAATTATGGGGCAAACTAATGAACATTTAGTTACTTAGAATTCTACTTTTTTTTTGATACACCAACATTTGCATTATAGTTCTTTTAAGGTTGGACACTCGTTTATTTTTTCTTTTTTTTCTGTGATTTTAAAAATAATTATTTTTGGCACCTAAAAAATTAGCTAGCATTTGTTGTCCTCAATGCAGAGAAACTAAAGCAGATACCTTAAAAGCACCTGAGGCCAACAGGAGAAGGGGACCAGGAACTAGAGAAAAGGTTAGACCAAAAAGAATTAACCTAGAAGGTAACACACATGCACAGGAAGTCAATGTGAGTCAACTCCCTGTATAGCTATCCTTATCTCAACCAGCAAAAGCCCTTGTTCCTTCCTATTATTGCTTATACTCTCTCTTCAACAAAATTAGAGATAAGGGCAAAATAGTTTCTGCCGGGTATTGAGGGGGGGGAGCGGGAGGGGGTGGAGTGGGTGGTAAGGGAGGGGGTGGGGGCGGGGGGGGAAATGACCCAAGTATTGTATGCACATATGAATAATAAAAAAATAAAAATAAAAATAAATTAATCATTTTTGGCACATGCATATATAACTTTGCTTCTGTGAGTTTCTTTCTTATCGAAAATTCTTAATGAAAGTCCAAAAGGTTCGAATCTTTAGTTTTTCCCCAAATAAATTGCATAAATTTGTGCCAGCAATAATATGCCATCCTCATAATTGCTTTATTGAAAATAATTTATATACCATACAATTTTCATTTAAAGTCTATAATTTTTTGGCTTTTAGTACATTGACTGAATAGTGTATCCCTTATCATCTCTGAATTTTAGAGCATTTTCTTTATTCCAACAGAAACCACATAACACCATAGCTGTCACTCCCTAAAGCCTCCATCTCAAGCAATCCCAGGAAATCACTACTTCATTTTCTGTAGATTGGCCTATTCTGGATATTTCATGTAAATGGAATCATACTATATGTGGTCCTTTGTTTCTGGCATCTTTCATTTAGTCTATTCTCAAGGTTTACCTATGTTGTATCATGAACTGGAACTTCATCTTTTTTTATTGCTGAGTGATGTTCCATTGTTTGGCTATATCACATTTATCTGTTGATCACCTGGTGGATTGGGGTTTTTTTTTTTCATCCTTTGACTCTAGTGTTCAGTGCTTCTATGAACCTTCATTTACTAGTTCTTGTGTGGACATACTGTTTAATTTCTCTTGGGTATGTAGCTAATAATGGAACTGGATATAATTCTTTAGCCGTTCGAGGAGCTATCTGATTGTTTTCCAAAGCAGCTGCACCATTTTACATTTCTTTTCCACATCCTTACTAATACTTGTTTTTTATTTTTTAAATTATAGCCAGCCTAGTGGGTGTTAAGTAGTATTTTGAGGTTTTGATTTTTCATTTTCTTTTTGGCGGTACTGGAGTTTGAACTCAGGGCCTCACACTTGCTAGGCAGGTGCTCTGCCACTTGAACCACACTCTGATTCTCATTTTCTTGATGACTGTTGATACATGCTTAATTGGCCAATTATGTATCTTTGGAGAAATGTCCATTCAGATCCTTTGCCTATTTTTTTAATTGAATTGTCCTTTTATTATTCAGTTGAAATAGTTCACCAGACTTATCTTTGTGTCTATGTTAAGTATTTTATCCTTATCTTGGTTTTTTGCTTGTTTGTTTTTTCTGAGCTGCTGGGGCTTGACCCCATGGTCTGACACATGCTAGACATGAGGCCTCTACACTGAGCAACACCTCTAGCCTTAATGTTACTTACTTCAATACCTGTAACTACTTAACTGGTTTTCTGTTGCTTTGTAGCTGATAACTATACACATAGCAGCTTATACCAACGCCTTTTTATTAATTCCACAGTTCTGCAGAGCAGAACTATAGGCAACTGACTTATGCTCAAGGTTTAAAAGGCCAAAAGGAGTGTCTGGCAGGTGGGGCTTTTATCTTGAGGCTTTAAATTGTTGACTAAATTCTTTGAGGTTGTAGGACTCACATCTCATTTCCTTACTGACTGTCCTCAAGAGGCTGCTTAGATCTTTGTCTCTGCTCTTAGGGACTGCTTGCATATTTTAAAGCCAGTAATATAACGTCAGATCGCCTTTGAGCTTTGAATCTCTGTCTTTTCTGCAAATAGCTGGAGAAAACTGCTTTTAAAAAGAGCTCATGTGATTAGATTAGGACTACCTAGATAATTTCTTTATAAGGCCTGCTGTGTCATAAGCATAATGTAATTATGGACATGATAATCTGGAAGGGGGGCATAGTTAGAATTATGCCTGTGATAAGTGCTTTACTAGTTACTGAGTGATATTTCAGAGTGTCTCTTACTTGCATCTTTGCAATTTTCTGTTTGTTTTCTCTTTATAGCAAGCCCTTGTTTTTGATCAGTGTTTGAAATTGAACCCAGGGTCTTGGGCATACTAGGCAAACACTCTTATCACTGAGCTACATCCCTGGTCTTTGTATCAGGCCTTTTGATATTACAAAGAACAGAAATGTTCTCAGGTTATCTCTGGATGGTAAGGATATATTTCAAAGCACACACCCCTGTGGAAAACAAATTTGCAGTGGCTCAATGGTTAGGCACAGAGGTCCCTTGTTCCCTCTTCTGGTGACTCTCATTCTGGTGATTGCTTATTTTTTCTCTGATTATATTGCCTATCTTCTCCTTCCACTGCTATAAAGCTTAGGTTTATTGATGGCCTCTGTCTTGTCACTTTTTAAGCAATGCTTGAACTTAAAAGACTCACACACCCTGTGTTCATAATCCAGCTTTGCTTAGCTAGCTGCCTCAACTTCAAAAGCTAGTTTTCCAGATTTTATTTGAGTATTTGTAGGATAACATATTTAGTACCTGGCATATCATACTTGTGAAATAAATAGTATATGGGAAATATGTATGTTTTATTTTTCTATCCCCCTGTATTTAAACATAAGACATAGATTGGGTTATTAGGTAGTATAGAATGCCACTTTAAGGTGAAATTCATATATTAAGCTATTTTGGAGATCAAATATTGACCTTAAGTAAAGTCATGTATTGCTGAGGTAATAGTTTGGGACAAAGCATGGTGCCCTAAGTCTGGATCTTTTTAAGGGACTACTTTGTGGGTGTGTTAAGAGCTCAGAATTCATAGTTTATATTTTCATTAATGTGAATTGGGTGGTTTTCCTTGATTCATTTATCTAGTGCTATTTTCATATTTTTTCTTAGATTTGTTAAGTTTATTATATATTACTAGCAATTAAGCTGATCATTTGAACTTTTTTACTTTGTAGATGTTTAATTAATAGAGCATAGTTTTATGTGATATATGGTTTACATATGGTCTCTGTTGTAGTAAGCATTTTAATTTTTCTTAAACTGTGAATTTAGTGTTAGCAATGCAATTTTTAAAACAAAAGCTGGGCATGGTGGTACATACATGCCTGTGATCCCAGCACTTGAGATGTAGAGGCCAGAAGATTGTGAGTTTGAGGCCCGCCTAGGATACATGGTAAAACCGTGCCTCCTCAACAAACAAAAATATGGCACGCACATACATGCATTACTAGGATAAGTCTTATTTAGTCATGGCGTGTTTTTTTTAAATAACAGTTTTTAATAAATGGTTTTTCTGAGTTGATAAATGAGCATCATTAGGATTTACAATTGGTTTCATTTTCTTGTAGACAAAATTAGTAATAGGTTTTAAATGTTTATGACTCGTCTTCTGCCAGTTGAACATTACAACTAAATTTTATAGTTATGTGGGAAAGGAAATACAGCGAAGTTGTGGGACATGGACTTGATTAAATTTTGAACAGGTGAATTTGCGAAGTAATTAGATTTTGTTTTTTTTCAAAGGTATCCTTTGTGTGGCTGATCAGTGTCACGGCTTACGAGAACTGGCCCTGAACTATCACTTATTAAGTGATGAGTTGCTACTTGCTCTGTCTTCTGAAAAACACGTGCGATTAGAACATTTGCGCATTGATGTAGTCAGCGAGAATCCTGGACAGACGCACTTCCATAGTATTCAGAAGAGCAGCTGGGATGCTTTCATCAAACATTCACCCAAAGTGAACTTAGTGATGTATTTTTTTTTGTATGAAGAGGAATTTGACCCATTCTTCCGTTACGAAATACCTGCCACTCATCTTTACTTCGGGAGATCAGTAAGCAAAGATGTACTTGGCCGAGTGGGAATGACATGCCCTAGACTAGTTGAACTAGTAGTGTGTGCTAATGGATTACGGCCCCTTGATGAAGAGTTAATTCGCATTGCAGAACGTTGCAAAAACTTGTCAGCTATTGGACTCGGGGAATGTGAAGTCTCATGTAGTGCCTTTGTTGAGTTTGTGAAGATGTGTGGTGGGCGCCTATCTCAGTTATCCATTATGGAAGAAGTACTAATTCCTGACCAAAAGTATAGCTTGGAGCAGATTCACTGGGAGGTGTCCAAGCATCTTGGTAGGGTATGGTTTCCAGATATGATGCCCACTTGGTAAGGACAGCATGGTGTAGGGCATGATGAATAGCACCTTAACTTCAAGCAAATGTATTACAATAAAAGTTTATTTGCTGTAGTTGATATAAGAATACTATTTTGTAGCACAGAAATTTGCTATCTTCAGTAAGTTATATAAGGATATTTGTTGGAAGACCTAACGAATCAGTTTTGGTCGGGAAACTCCATTTGTTTCTTTAGCCTAATCAAATCTCCAAAAATTAAAAGAAAAAATGGTTTTTGATATTTTGAAGTAATAACCAGTTATAAAGATTAAACAGTTCATAGTCTGAAGGAAACAAAACCTATGTATTATAATATTCAGGAAGTACTAATAGGTTTTCTGAAATGTTCTCTATGCATTTTTTTAAAAAATGTAAACTTGACATTTTAGAGTCTTCAGTTATAAATACACCTGTTATAAGGTGTTTAATATAGCTCAGGAAAGTGAGCACTTTGTGAGAAAAATGTAGGATATATTGTATCTATTGAAAAAAGATTGGTTGAATGTTTTCAAATGTTAGGAAGCTAATTAAAAAAAATAAAGATACATAAGTAATTGGAACACTTAAAAAACTGATGTCACACAGTGGTTTTTATAGAAGGATGATACACAGAGCCAAGATCAAATTAAAAGAAAATGGAATACAAGGGAGGCAGTATTTAGCTTTGTATAAACTTTTAGGTTTCCCCTGTAATCTGCTTAACCATGTAAGTTCTTTTCTGTGATATGTTACTATGTGGCGCTTGAGGCATCATATGTAAAGTAAGGAATGCTTTACCAGTTCTCTTTCGTTTTATCTTTGTTTAAACTAGTTTTTAGGTATTACACAACAATTGAAATGAAAATCTTATCTACTTAAAAAAGGCAAGTTGAAATAAAGGTAGAACTTTAAAATTTTGTTTATAAATTGATTAATGAAAGAATATTAGTCTCTAGTGAATTTTAGTGATGGCTCATTTTTTCTACTTGGAATTACATAGTTATGTAAGTAGAATTTTAAAAATATTTTAAAAACAGCATTATTGTATAGTACAGCATAAACAGTCAATTTAAAAGAGGATATATTGAAGTTCATAATCATATTTGAGTATTGCTCGGTGAACTGGAAAATTTTAATAGAAAAATATCTGCAGTTTTGTGATTGTTAATTTGGTTAAAACTGATATTTTATATTAAGTTAGGTAGCATTTTTATATTACTTTCATATGAATAAAAATAAATCCATGCATTCATTGTGTAGAGACTGTACAAACTACTAAGTTTTGGGCTATATTTAGTGTTTTGGGGTTTTTTTTAGACATTATATAAAATTTGATTCTGGGCACTTAGTGCTAGTAGATAATACTTTCCTAAGGGAAATTAGAAGTGACTTACTCCCAGTGGAATATGCCTGAAATGGCTCTTAAGTAGTGTGACTTTTAGAAAGTATCTTGGTAGTTGTGGAAGCTAAAGTCTTAAAACAGATGACCCTCCTAAAAATAAAAAGTGGTTTTCTACGTTATTTGGGCTTTTCAAAATTGATGTTCTACCTTGCAGCTGCATATGAATGCGAAAAAAGCTGTAAAAGCAGTTATTGTAATAGTTACCCTCTTTATAAATAGTAAAAAGCCTTGATTATATAAGAAATACTTGTCCTAGTGGATGAAGTTTTTTTCTTTTTTTGAACAACTTTGGAAATGGATTTGACAGTACATAATCAGTTCTACTAACCAAAGCTTTATTTGAAAATTTATTTTGTACAAATTGAATTATATAATGCTTGAAATACTTTAAGTCACTTTATAAGCAAAATGCATAGCACTTGTTTATACTGTAAAGTATATGTAAAATGCTTTTATTAATTTGAGAATAAACATAGTTACTAATGTTGTTGTATTGTACTTTTTAAAAACTACCTAAACATATGTATGTATTTAACTTTAAAACTAGTTAAACGTACACTGGGTGCTGGTGGCTCATGCCTAGCTAGTAGGATTCTAGCTACTTGGGAGATAGATCAGGAGGATCACGGTTTGAGGCCAGCCTGGGTAAATAGTTTACAATACTCAATCTCCAAAATATTCAGAGCAAAATGGACTGGAGGCGTGGCTCAAGCTGTAGAGTACCTGCTGTGCAATTGTGAGTTCATACCCCAATCCCACCAAAACAAGCAACAAAAAAACCAAATTTATGATTGTAGTTTTTGATAGATATGTTTAAATGCTATGGTAGGCTGCTTTTTTGAAGATATAAGATTAAGCACATGGGATCTGTTAAAATAAGCTCTGATGCCTATGAAATTTACCAGGAAATTCATATTTTTATACAGAAAATGGTTAAATTAAAAATAAGGAATAGGTTTTTTCTGCATTCAGAATAAAGACATAAAACACTTCAGAAATAAAATTCTCTGTTTTGGTTTTTTTTTTTGGCAGTACTGGGGCTTGAAATCAGGGCTTTACACTTACTAGGCAAGTATTCTTGCCACTTGAAGAGTCCCTGTCTCCAGCTATTTTTTTTTTTTCTTTTTTGCTTTAATCCTGACTCTGTGGGACCATAGGCATGCCTAGTTTATCGAGAGAGGTCTCTAACTGGTTTGTTTGTGGAACTGGAGTTTGAACTCGGGTTCGTACTTGCGAGGCAGGCACTCTGCCACTTGAGCCACACTTCCATGTCCCGAGCACTTTTTGCTCTGGTTATTTTGGAGATGGGGGGGGGGGTCTCAAGCTATTTGCCAGGGCTGGCCTTGAACTGTGATCCTCAATTTCACCCTCCCAGGTAGCTAGGATTACAGGCACGAGCCACGGTGCCTGGTGAGGATGTATTTATTCTAAAGCCCTAATATTCAAACTCCACAATAACAGTTCTCTTAGAGGAAAATTTATACATTAATAAGTTACACTAAGAGCAGCAAAATTTAATTAGCAGATTCCTGCCCATGCTTGTTTCCCAACTCCCTTGGAAAGCATGTTCTTGAATCATCTCTTTCCCTTTGCAGTGCTAGGGTTTGTACTCAGGGTCTTGCACTTGCTAGGCAGGTGTTCTACCACTTGAGTGACACCTGCTTCCAACTTCTACTTCATCTTCTGAGCTTGACAGGTCTGTAAATGCTGCAGCCACCTGAAGCTATATAATACTTTCACAGAATTTCATTTGATATTTTAAGAACAATGAAAAATCTTGAATGCTTTTAAATTCTATTAGAATCTTGTTTTAAAAGCCAACTGCCATGTACAGATGTCCTCACTTATCTTTAGTATGGAGCCAAGCTCTGTGATTTGCAGTTGACACAAACTTAGTACAAGAAACTTGGCTTGTCACTTCAATGCATTCTAGAACTCCAGAGTAACTTCCCAGAGTTAGAAGTTCATGTTGTGCAAGTTTAGCCACTAGGTGGTGCTAATGTAAAGACCCAGTTGTCTTGTGACATACTCTAAGACAGTAGGTTAGAGGCACCATTAACAATGGCTTAGGCACCATTAATGTAAGCAGATGAGCTGAGCAGGAGGCAGCGGTAGGTAGAAAGTTCTTCATGTACTTCAGGATGACTTTACCCCTGTGCAGGCGGCAGAATGGTGTATTGCAGTGCTCAAGCTATCCGTGTCACTTGGTTTTTATTTTAGGATGTTGTGGGGCCTACACTTTTGAAAAACAGAATAAAAATGAATTGTTAGACAAATGAAATAAAGACAAAATACAAGCCCCAGTATTTATTAGATTCAACAGAAACACATTACTCAACAAAATGCTTTAAAAGTTCTAAATGCTTCCTATCAATATCTGTATTTCTTGTAGATAGGTAATATTTAGCAGACAGGCACTGGTCCAAGGACCACAATTTCAGTGGCTCCAAAAAACATACTGTGCATCCGATTGAGTCAGCAGAACCTGAGATAAAAATCTGAGTCCATTACTACTAGCTGGGTAGCTGTGGAAAGGTCACTTAACCTTGCTAAGCCCCAATTTACTCATTTGGATCAGGTAAACAATACCTGATTAGGCTCTTTGTGAAAGCTCAATGATAATGTACTAACCTCTTAGGAAGCACTCAAGTATTAGCTACAAGTGAATAATTGGTCCATTTACATATTAAATAGATTGTTTTCTCTGATCTCCACTCCATCATCTTACTGGTGTTTTCCATGAAGAGGAAAAACATGTTCCACTTGTCATAAAATGCAGGACCCTGACAAAAACCTGTCCTCTCTGGGAGGTGCACCCTCTTCCACTGCACTGGCTGCATTAGAGCTACTGGAAGCAGGGTGGGAGTCAGAAGTACCTGTTCTCCCAGCCATGACTGCAGCTAGGCACTTCTATGCCCCAGATAGTTGAGGAACCACTGAAGCATACACTGTCAGCTCAAAGTCTAGCTGATTACAACCCAGGAAAGGTCGGCCTATAATGTGCATTAGGCAAGATCAAGAGTGACCCTTCGTTCTCTGATTAATTATTACAGTCCTGATATGTTACTGTGCATTCCCTGTGATTTTCCTATGATGAACATACATGACTTCAATCTTTACAACAGTCATTTTAGAGGCAAGAAACTAAGGGAAGAAAGGCTAAGAAATCCAAAAATTCACAATTACCCCCTGAAAAACTGAGGTGCGGGTGGTGGGAGAAAGAAATAGAATTAAGGTTTTTATAAATCAGGAAGCGTTTTGTGTCTGTTAGGTAACGGGATTTCTTCATATGTTATTTTAATAAAAGGGAATTTCATAGGTAAAAACCAGTATTCAAAATTATAAAACAAGTAGAATTGTCTGTGCATAATCACTGAGTCAAAGATTTGCAGGAGACTCCATAGAAATTCTTTAGTTGACAAATGTGGTTTGAAGGGGTAATAAAATTTTTTTATATCTAAAGCAAGAGTCTTGTTTCCTGTTGGCCCAAAAATAGAGGTTTCATTTCCCAAATAAGTAGGTTCTCCACTGTAAAGAAATATTCTTGTATAATTAGTTTCTATCTTCTTGAACTCTGCTCCAAGTTCAGCCAACTTCTCATATGTCCTTAATACAAATTTTGAACAGTCATAGGACTCAAACCATGTCTCCATCCCTTTTCCTGGGCTGGCTTGGACAGTCCACGTCTCATAATAAATCCCTGTTTCATTATCCTGTTTCACCCAATTTGCCATCTTGTTAAAGGTGTTTCCTAGTTAAAAAAAAAAAAAGCAACAACAAAAAATCATTTACGTGAATATCAATCATGTTAGTTCTTTTGAACTGATTAATACTGTACATGAATAAGAGAGAGGTTTTCAATTTCCAAACCTGCATCTCACAACAACCACTCAAGCTCAGGCAATTTTTATTTCATTCTTCAAGGTCTTGCTGAATTACAAACATTAGATAATACAAGTTTATAAAGAGAAGTCTTTCTAATTCTATAATCACTTAAGCTGCAGTCAAAAGTGAGATTATAAAAATGCAGCAGCTCTTTATTCTACTCAACAAATCTTGGATTCTCAGAGGAAAAGAGAAAAAAAAGGCAAGCAAGGAAGGAATTGTGGAAGAGGAAAATGTGAATGGATAAAGATAGTGTAAGAAAAACTGAAGAGGGTAAAAGCTTGAGCTTTTCTGTTACAAAGCGTAAGATGCATACAGAACATATGCCTAAAGAGCAGCTGCTCTAGAAGGTTGTCGTAAAGCTACAAGGAGCACCATCCCCACCCTTTGCTAATTTCCTTTTCTCTCTGTACCGTACCTGTGGGTTGCTGCTGTTGACCTCCAAACCCCCCCACAAATTCCTCCAGTGAATCAACCATACTGGAAAAGGTCTAGGCCAACTTCATTGACGCCCAGTCTCCAGGATGGCTAACACTCTCTTTTGATACTACTTTGTACCAGATCAGAAGAATCTTTCCAAACATTTAAAAAACCACCCCACTCTGTATGGTTATGACCCTCATCTGGGCTCTTGTAATGCCCAAGAGAGGTAGGCCCCAACATTTCATTTTGTCACTGTATGCAAACCTTTCTTTGGTTACTCCAACCTGAGTGATGTCATTGCCAATTTTAGGGAATTAAAACTGACTGCCTATTTTCTTAGAGTTGGGGGCAACTGTTCTTAGTGGTCAACTTCAAAAAGCCAGGGCTGAACTTACAAGATAAGCCACTGCAGGACTTCAAAACACTATGTTGTAACATGAAAAGGTCACAGAAGTGGTCAGATGGACTAGTTAAAAGGTTTAAGTACTGGCGTGTTACCAACTGTTTTATAGAAAACAGCGCTCAGGTGTTGATGTGATAAACTACGTCAGGGGAAAAGTTTCAGGTAATGATGCAGGTTGAAGTGGAGAATGGGCTTGGAATGAAAGAAGCTACTTATTTTACTGAGCATTGTTAAAAGAGGTGATTTTTGTGTTCTTGGGATAGTTTGGGGCATATCTATTAGAAAGTAGGATGGTGTGATTAGTCAAAAGATCTTCAGATTATTTTTTTTTCTGTGGTGCTGAGGTTTGAACTCAAGGCCCCACACTTGCTAGGCAAGTGCTCTCTCTACCTAGCAAGTGGAGCCACACTGCCAGCTCCCCAGATTGCATTTAAAAAGCCTCAGTCTTGGTTTTGCTACATCCAGCTGTGACCTTGAGAGATAGATCAGACTTGTTACTTGGCTGAGCCTCACCTACTTACTTGTAAATGACAAAGGGTTTCTTATCCTCCCAACAGAATTATGAGTTAGCACACCTTAAAATTATTTACAAAAAGCTATATAAGTAGAAAGCCTAATCATTTCAAGTCCTGGAATTCCCAGAATAATTATTATCACAAACGGTGCTTTTATTTCAGGTGTTGCCATTTGGGGGAGAATAGCAATTTATAATATAATACTATGTAAGTGGTATGGCGAGCCTTTACTTCTAAAATGCAATGATAGTATTCTACAAAGCAGGCAATAGGCCAGTAAAGTGAAACCGGATCAAGGTCACAAATGAGCTACTGATGAAAGTTCTGCTGACCTCCTTCATCACTAACCAGTAATGCAGTGAGTGCAAAACTCCAAGTGTGCTGGCAATTTTCCAGTACATTCAAAAGAACAGAAAATCTCAGAGATAAAATATATAAATTGCTCAAAGATCCTCAAGTATATAACATCATAAACACTTTGGGAGGCAAAGTACCAAAGCTGGGGTGGAGTTCCACCTCTAGGCTGTGTAACTTTAATGCTCTGTGCCTCAGTTTCCCATATGTTCAATGGGGAAAGTAGTACTGACTGCATGGAGTTATGATGATAAATGATGTGACAGATATCTAGATCTATCACTCAGGGCTAGGTTCGGAGGAAGTCCATGTAAATAGTAGTACTAATAGTATTATTACTCAATATAAAAATGTTTTCATTTATCACCACTAATTTCTTCCACATATAGTTAATAGGTCCTTTAATCAGGTACATTATTAATTCACCATTCCTATTTTATTTAGAAAGTCCAATTTAATTACAGAAAGTATTTTATTTCATTCATTTTTAGCATGGGACAAACAGGGCAGGAGATAAGTTACTCATAACCAACAGCTGGAGCTCTGCATAAGAACCAGTTGGGGTTCAGAACATTCTATAAATGACCTCTAAGAGGCAGAACGTGACTCAAATGTCTCACTGAAAGTAATTTCTTCATTTGTATATTGATGCTATTGTCAAATACTGCCACATTTACGATACTTACCTGATATGGTTGCTACTAGAGCTAATGTCCCATTTTCCTTCCAGTGGTTATCATCAATTCCTTCAAAAAAGCAGGCAGCTCCTTGATTGCACCAGAAAGGGGCATTCAGTTCAGGTCGGAGGTGGGGAAACGTACAGTTGCCAAGCTGGAAAAGCTCATACCATTCCATGGTGTAGTTCCTGCCAGTTAATGTACTTCTGAATCCGACTGCATCATGCATAGTTTTCTGTAGAGAAAGAGCATGTGCGAAAACATCTGTGGAGTAACCATGGGCCCAGGTCACCTAACTTGAGAAAGCAAGGTGTACCACAAATGCATACCAAGTAGAAAAACTATTCAGCTGCTCCTCTTGTCACTATCCAGTGTCCACCTGTGGCCCCTCAAACTCCAAGCCCTCATTCACTCTGATTTTGGCAACAACAGCTTATCTTAGTTAGCCAGAATGTGTGCTACGTGCACAGGTCATTTTTTTATAGCTTAGAATACGTGTGAGATGCCACCATGCCTGTCTCAGGAAGGAGCTCCACCCATCTCACAGGGCAATGTGCTAAACAAGGAAAGTGTCCCAGCAGGGCCTGGGGCCCAGGAAGTGATTCCTGCCTACCTTGCCCTTTCTTCCAGGCCTCCTCTCTTCTTATTTCTCAGGACCTGGGTATAGCACTTGAGTTTGGATTTATATGAAAGGGATTATATCAAGTGCATTTGTTACTGATCATATATGTATATACTGAGACAGTGTCTTGTTCTATAGCTTAGCTGGCCTGGAACTCTCCTGAGTGCTTTGGTTACAGGTATGAGCCACCAAACCCAGCTATTTTTGATTGATCATTTAAAATGTAATTTAAAAGTAGCCTTTTGAATAATGATTACTTGCTCAAATCAACTTAATAATTAAATCCTTTAATTAACCAAAGTTAGCAGATCAAGATGCAGCCTTACCAAGTGTCCTAGGAGGTCTCCATATTTAAATTCCCAAACTGGCGCTTGGAGTCGAAAGACTTCAACGACATCATTGCCCTTCATAACTGGGAAGGGTGAGCCAGTGGGACAGAAGGTGTACTTAGCTTGACAATAAGGATCTGGCTCTGGACGGAAGGAAAAACGTCTAATAGGAAAGAGAATCATCAACTTAGATTCTAATGGGAATTTGGTTCTTCCCACACATCTTAGAACCCAAATTCTCATTTTAGCAATATTTTTAGGGAAAACATTCAAAGTTTAGGTCATGATGAATAAATATAAGAACATACTTTATTTGCTGTCCTGTGAACACACTTTCATGCCTTTACTGGCAAACGATTAAAGCAGAATACATTTTTGTTTACTTAAGAGTTAACCAACATTCATTCAACTAATATCTATTGAGTATCTACTTTCTGTAGAAGGAGTATACTCTTCCCTTCCTCATAGAGCCTTGGAAGGAGGCTGGGAAGACATGAAGCAAGTCATGAAGTGCACTGTGGTAAGTGCTAAATTAAGGAACTAAAGTCCTATGGGCAGCAATTATTTTCATTTGGTAGGCGGGGCAGGGGAGGGCACAGACAGACCATGACCTGGCTTAGGTTTAAAGTACTTGAGAAGACAGTTAGGAGAGAAAAAGAGAGAAAACATTAAGTATCGTAAGAAGACCCATGTGAATGGTCTCCAGTAGGATGGAAGACTAGACAGAATTCTGGCTCCCCACAACTGGGAACAGAGAGTCCCTGAGTAAGCTTAGAGGATTTTCAGAAGCAGATCTGATGTGCCTGCCTGGCTAAAGTAAACCTTATTTTACGGGTTAGAAGGCAGTGGGAAGAGGCCAAATTCAGAATGAGATCTGTTGGGGTGACTGCAAGAATTCAGACAAGAAAAGCAACCCTGAGAAGGCCACAGTAATAGGATCAGAATGGGCTACAGCTGAATGGAGCTCCACAGACAGTGGTCATTTCTACATGTGGCACTCCAAGAGAAGGAAGGGTAAGAAGCAGCTTCACTCCTCTAAGAATATTAAGATCCTGAAGGCTCCAGCCAGATGGATTTTATTACAACCCTAGCACATGAAAACAAAACAACTTCTATTTTAATTTAGGTACTTACTTAGTTTAAACAAATACATGATTACATGTAGGTTTCACAGCAAAATCTCCTGTAAAGGTAATTCTAAAAGCATAACTGAAATATGACCTTAATATTACTGAGGGAATGGAACGGGGCACACACTTAATTGCTGAAAGTTTTCAGGACACAGATGTCATAGTCAACTCTTTGCCCTGTATTAAATCAAATAGTTTTGGACTTAACCATCTGTTTCTTGTTTTGTTGGGTATTTAAGTCTTACTTCTAAACACTGTATTTATATTTGCAAGAAAAACCAGTTTCAAGTGCAAACCTCTCTCACATACATCGAACAAAAACATTCCATGAGCTGAATACATGAATATTTAGGTTTGACAACTGTTATTCACTAAAGTTGATCCAAAGACCCCCAGTAGTGCTACCAGCACCCCTATGTGCTGACTCAGAGCATGTCAGCATAGAGTTACTGGGAACTTTACCAAGATCACAGAGCTAATGATCCAGTGGAGACGGATTTTATCTCCTGCCCGTCAGGTTATCCTACCTTTCAACTCACTGTGTCAAGCTGAACCAGCAGCTGTGTGTTTTCAAAAGCTGCTGGTCGTTCCCCTGCCTGACACCGTCTTCTTTCTCCTAGTTTAGCCATTTCCTACGGTCACAGGGTGTGATCAGCTGCACAAGTTCGCAGCCTACATCCTCAATTTTTGACCAGCCTTCCTCCTCCAGGCTGAACGAACTGGAGGAACAAGGTGACCGGCCTTCCCGGGTTTGCCCAGATCTAAGGAAGGAGATTCCCAAAAGTACTAAAACTGGGGCGTTCTGGCGAGCTAATCACCCCATAAATTGTGCCAAATAGAAGGCAGTAACAACCAATGACAGAGCATGAAATCATGAAATAATAATGCAATTTCTAAAAAGTGTTTAAAACTATTCAGGGTGTCAGTTACTTGCATCTGAAAGTCACTTGTGTAAATTATCACCAGTCACCCCGAGAACGACAAAGGTCCCAGGGCGACGCGCCAAGAGCGGCTGCGACTCCCGAGTCCCCAACTTTGTTCTAAGCTGCGCTCCGAGTGTCGCCGCGCGCCGCCTGCGCGTGACGCGGACTCAAACTCCCGCGCCGCCCGCCGCCCCGCGCGCCGCCGCACTCACTTGTAGGGCACGGGCCAGTGGCGCCGCGCGCGGCCGCCCGAGCCCTGGACGCAGCCCAGGGTCGCTGCCAGCCACAGCCCCGCCAGGGCCCAGCTCCAGGGCGCGTGCCCGGGAGCCGCGCCCGCGCCCCGCCGGCCCCCGGCCTCCGGTCCCGCGCTCCCTGCCCGGCCATGGGCGGCTCCGCTGCTTCCGGGGCCGGCGGAGGCTCCGCCAACCGAGCGTGCGCGCCGCCGCTGTCCCGAGTCGTCGGCGGGTGCCCGTGCCCGCGCGTGACGCCTCCGAGCGCGTGACGCCGCGTG